AGGAGATTCGAGTCAACTTAAGCATATCACCACTTTTACAAAAGTTATCAACAAATTTTAATGTATACTTTCCCTAAACTCAAATATATGTAACAAAAGGTTAAAAAAATAATTTACATAATTTTACCTACTTTACGTCTTAATTTCTATAAATTAAAATAGTTATTTTTAATATTTATACTTATTTTTTAAATTATTTTTAGTCCCTATGATTTAAGATGAATGTTTTTAGTCCCTATACTCATAGTTTTTAATCCTTTTAATCATTGTTATTATTTTTTTTTTGTGTAACATTATTTCTTTTATATTAACATGACGGTATTAATTCAACATCTTTTGTTGTTGAATTTATTTTGGTAGAATTTACACTAAATTAGGTGTTTCGACGTTTTGTATCTCTTTTATACCTTTACTTGTAATATTTATTATTGGGACATCTTTTTTTACTCTTACAAAATTGAAAACCTTTATCATGTTAACAAAAAACAAATAACATTACAAATGAAATTAATAGTAAGGAATAAAAGGCTTACAAAACTTCAAATATAGAAACTTAAAAAATTTATCTTAAACTATAAGAACTAAAAAAGATTGAAAAAGATAACTATAAAGATTAAAAAAGTTTATTTCGAACTATAGAGACAAAAATATTAAGTAAGAGATTAAAGAGACTAAAAATGTATTTTAACTATAACAAAAACTTATGAATAGTGGATCAAAGTATAAAAAAATTTAATTACTTTTATTATCTCTAATTAAATTACTTTTTATTTAATTAAGATTTAATTTTAAGTGACTCTTTTTTATTTTTAATATCAATTTTTAATAAAATAAAATATAGGAAAAAATATTTTAATTAAGACTAATGAAATTAAATGATATTAAGGCCCATTTGAAAAAACTTATAAATAACTTATTTGTACTTAACTTATTTCATAAATATTTATGGAAGTCTTTGAACAAACTTGAAAAACATTTCAAGAATAATTCATAATATATTTTGAGTTTAGTTTGATAAATTATCCAATATATCTTATTATTTATCTTATGAAGAAATTTATCGAACATTAATTAAGTTTGATTCCTAGCACCGATGTAGGCAATATTTAGTTTTATTTTTTATTTTTCATTAAAAATCAATTTTATATTTTTTCATTACTTCCTTTAAAAGTTTTATTTTTTATTTCTAAAATTTTTTGTTTCTCTTTAATTTTTTTCTCCAATTTTTTTTTCTATCTCTTTCCCCCAAAATTCACATTCCTCTATTATAAAAAAAATCACATAATTTTATTATTTGTTTCTCTAAAATAGCATAGCTGAAATAATTTTGTTGTTGATATTTATAATTTTTTTAATTATTATTTTATAAATTATATGAAATTAATTTTAAATTTTTAAAAATTATGGCTCTTAATTTTTAATAATGTTTATATATATATATGATTATTTCTCATATTTTATTATTTATTTTATTTTATTATAAATTAAAATTAGGTGAATGATGTTTAAAATTTTTTTTATCATTTTTAATATTATTATAATGTACAATGTCATTTTTTAAAACTATTTAGTTACTTTTTATATTTTTATTTTAATTTCATTCAATATTTGATTTATAATTTTTAAAATAAGATAATATATCAGGAATACTTAACAAATGATGAATTCAAAGATTTAAAAAAAAAATAGTTTATAAGATTTATATTTATATATATTGTTTTTATCTATGACAAATCCTGTGAGCTAAAGAGGGAATATATTCATTAATCATTATATTGAAGAGGAAGGAATGGAATCCATTGATACTATTCTACTCAGCCACGTCTAATCACTTATCAATCCCTGCTGCATGTACCTTATCTCCAAACTTTAACTTATATTAATTCTCGATCATCATTATACATTCATAAAAATTGTTTCTAAACCGATTTTTGTTTAGAGTTTATTGGAGGGTGCTAAATGAAGATTTTTATGATCAAAGTTTACCTATTTTAATTTAATTAATTTTCACAGAAATAAGCGAATAAAGTTGGGCGTTGACTTGATGAAATGGATTTGAATTATTGGTTGGGTAACATAGAAATATATGCATGTAATGATAATAGCGAAGACATGAATGTTGAAGAGTAGCTAGACATAGACATAGCACAAGAACATAAATTTGGAATGGGCATTGACTATGTATGAAAGGTGAATTATGGGTCTAATGTCTGCTTCAGCTGGGACACTCAAATCCATTTAGGATAATAATTGAGTTATACTTATAGCACCACACCCTCCACTAAAATAATATTCCAACATGGACACACTGTGCCTTGCGTCATCAATACTTCTATATTATTGGACTACAATACTAATAGTTTAAACAATACAATTATTTTAAACAAAAAATAAATTAAAATACAAATTAATGGAACATAATCACTTTTTTTTCCTCCTAAAAGTGGTGAAGGCTGTTTGACATTGATAAAAGAAATAAAGAGAAGAGGTGTGTAGAAGAAAAAAAAATTTGAAAAGAAATGAAATAAGTAAAAAAAGTAAAATGAAAAGTAAATTATATTACTTTCCTCAACCAACCTTTTTTTTGGGTTAATTATATTACTGTTGAGTGATTTTCCAGTTAAAACTGAAAAGGTTTCCGTAAATGGAAAGCCAGTGTAATGTGTATGTATCAATTTCCTGTAGAATGAACATATATCAAACCTAAAGCCACACCACATGTAGTGCTTCCTTAATTCATCATTATTCAGTATTCACAATACCTTTGCTTTTGTTTTTCTTGTGGTGATAGCTATGGTACGTAGTCAATGGCAGTGTCCACATTAATTATGTTTGTGAATTTAATTGTTTTATTCTTAAACTCATAAATTGTATTGTGTGCTTGTCATTTTCAAGTTTATGGTTGTGATATGAATATCAATGTTTGTGCTTAATCCAATTATATGTTTGTTTTCAGATAATACAGTATATTTTATATGGCTTTATTCATAAATAAAACACTGATTGGCCTTATTTTTGGTGGATACTTGGTAAGATAATTTAACAGGAAGGAGACATCCAAATAGTGTTTCATGTTTAGTCTTTTTATTCTTCTTTTTTTTTCAGCGAGGAAAACTAAGAAAAAAGACAACCATTGGCTCCTTTTATGATCACCCAATTCCATTAATTAACTTTGTTCGGGGACAAAATTCAACCATTTTCTTTTTTAATCAAAGAATCTGTAACAGCCCAATTTTCAATGGGCCGTAGGCCCAATTCGTTGCCCAGAACGGGCCGTTTCAAAAGTGAAACGGGCCGTTCTGGAATAAGTTAAAGGCCCAAAATTTGAGAATCAGAACGGGTCGTTCTGGAGGGAGAACGGGCTGTTCCGGTTTGGAGAACGGGTCGTTCCAGAGGGAGAACGGGACGTTCTGGTTTGGGAACGGGTCGTTCCGGAGGGAGAACGGGCCGTTCTGCTGGGATTGGATATCTAAACAAATTAAACAAGAACATTTCTTTTCTGTGAATTTAACTTCAGCAAGAATAACAACCAAAACAGTTCAGTTGAATATAATTTATGATAATATTGGCTGCCTCTATAAATGATTTGTTTTATAGAACTTGCTATATTTTAGAACTTGAGAAAAGATACAGGTCATTAAATTAACAAAATATTAAGGAATATTGGATTTACATGTAAAAATATATTTAATTTTATTTTCATTCACTCTGATTATAAATAGTAGTAACAACTAACAAGTGAATCTCACATAGAGAAACATTATGACCCATTGGATTTCAAACCAGTGGTCCCTCCCTCTACCTAATGGTAGAAGTCATGTTGACAATCTAGACACAAACATGATAGTTTATTTCCTAAGAGTCAAACAAAGACAAGCTGATTGTTTAAGAAGAAGCCAAAAAAATGACTTCTAAGAAATCTCACATTTTCACCCTCTTAGCCCCAGCCACTGCCCCATGTTCTCACATGGTCTTCAAACTAATCATGAATTTTCATTTCATCTACCTCCTCAATCCCATTGAAGAATTGAGACTGTATATTACTGAAATACTGCTTTAAACATCACGCCCTCAAATTTTTTTTTAAAAAACAACTTAAATTTATTACATGATTATTCTCGTAAAAATATATCAACCAGCCTAAATCCTAAATTTCAACTCACACTGACATATCTACACTTAAGGGACTTTGGCTCATCTCATTTTAGACCACTCAACACATTCTCAAGGTTTTCAATATAGTTGTGGTAAATGGTAATACTATGGGTCCAATACATACTACAATGGTTAATTAATCAGCAGGATCTAATTCCCAAAGACTGCCTTGTACTTTCTCTGTTTTACATTTTGCATTCCATGCCCGAACTTGTTATTGAAAGTTACATAGACCCTCCCTAAGATGCATTAACTTTAGCTTAGCACAGCACAGTTTCATGGTTCCAAAAGTAAAGCAAAATGCATACTAAGGATCAAGGAAGAGTTAGTTAAGTATTGGAGTTCGAACACTATATGTCAAACCTAAATAATATATCAATAAACTAGTTATAAAGGAGTAGTTAAGGAAATACGAATCAGAGACACCTAATTCAATGAAACTGTAAGAGGGTCGTATACCAGACTCCTCTCCTTAACGGGCACAAAATAGAGCAAAATGTTTCTCTGTCATTTGAGAAAACCATGAATGACTAAATAAATTTAACCTTAGTATGCAGATGCTCCCAAGCAAAAACAAAGGTAAGAAAACAATTAACATGTAAAAGGACAAATAAACCCCATTGGAAATGATATGTCATAGCAAACATATGTGAACAAAAGCTACACGAAAACAGACCATGTCAGGAAATACCAAAAGCCACAGCCATAGAGAGGTGAAAAAAGAAAAGGCAAATATAATCTCATTTGCATACAATCCAATGCTTTGATAACAGGATGCGCATCCGTTGTTCAAAAGAAAAAAAAATCAGCAAAGAACAAGACTAGTTTGAGTTTCAGTGCATGACCCAAAACAAATGAAATTACAAAGCTGGAAATGTGTTGAATAGGGAGGCCAAACTGAGTTGTAGGAAGAGCAAAGTGAAATGGGAAAAATAAAGAGAGTGGCGTGTCGTATTGGATTCACGAAGCACTTGACGTGCAGAAAGGTCTCAGAAATGAATTTAACTTCAGCAAGAATAACAACCAAAACAGTTCAGTTGAATATAATTTATGATAATATTGGCTGCCTCTATAAATGATTTGTTTTATAGAACTTGCTATATTTTAGAACTTGAGAAAAGATATTGGGGTAGTAAGGGTGTCACAGAATCAACCACTTACGAAGAACAAACACAAATGTTGGAACAAGTCCATATATCATCTCCCTTTGTGCAGTTTCTCTTGTCCCATGATATTAAAACTTTTTAAAAAATACATAAAATCTTTCCACTTTTTTTTTTATATATATAATTTTTATAACTAAGGATGAAGAATAAATGAAATACAAGAACAATGCTTACAGGAAACTGAGAAAAGAAAGTGACATAATAGATCTGTTTGTTTACACTTTTTTCTTATAAAAACGTTTTTTTAATAAAATAAATACTTTTTTTTTAATCTTTTTATGTGTTTGCCTAAGCTTTTTTTTTTTTTTTTTAAGTAAACAGTTTTCTTTTTTTTTTTTTAGGAAACATATTTTAGGAAACAACCCTTATTTGCTTCTTAAAAAAAATTCTTTTGAAATTACTAGTTTAGAAATATATATTTTAAAATTTAAACAAACAAATTTATTATGTGTTTATATAATTATTGAACTGAACGCAATGTAAATCTATGATACTTGCGTACCTTCAAACTGTGCAGGTGAGGAGTAGGGTGGTGTAAAGTAGACATGGCAATCTAACCCATCTTCGTGGGTACTCGCCCGAACTCGCCCTGATTTAGACGGAAAAAACTCGTATTTATCGAGTTCGAGTTCAGGTTTTCCCTAATTAATGAAATCGGGGGCGGGGCAGGTACAGGAATGTTGATACCCACCCCCACCCTGCTTAATAATATAATTAAAAAATTATTTATATATATAAATCAAAATTAAAAATATTTATATGTAAAAATTTATATTATTTTACTTTTCTTTTATTTTTTAAAAA